GTATTCCCTCAAGTGGCGGATAACGTAATAGTACGTTTCTTATAGGAAGGGTAAGGTAAGGTGTGTAAGATTAATGCTATCTGGGAAGTATTTGGTGAAGCGTAAGTATATTAGTGTAGACATGTTTCAGTGAAATAGATAAATCAATAAATAAAAATGGCTATGCATGCCTAAAGCCCCAATTGATACAAAACACAAAGTACAAAGTATTTATTATGGATAGTTAAGAAGAGTTTGGAAAGATACACGAGAAACCAAAGGAGGGTGAGCTGATCCCAGTGTTTTTTTTTTTTTTTGTGTGTGTGTGTGTGTGTTGTTGCTGTTTCATTTCTCTCTCTTTATGTGTATTCCGTTACATGTGTGTTTGCCATTTTTGCCTTTTCATATTTAATTCAGTCCTTAACATTAGTATTTGTCTTATTATCCTTCTCGTTATTGTTACTAATATCGTAGTTATTGCTGATACTGTTCTTCCTTGTTATTATCATTATTATCAATTTTATCATCATCATTATTGTCATTTTTGTTAATCATTACGATAATGATGATTATTGTTTATTGTATCACTACTGCATCATTATTGAAATCATTTTCATTACCATTAATATCTAGTATCATGATTATTACATATTTCCACATTTCATTAATATTTTCCTTGTAGTTATTATCAGCGCTTCCTCATATTGGTCATTAATGTAATTATAGAGGTTTATTTTCCAGCATCATATCCACCATCATTATTTAAATATGATCATTATATTCATAAGGATCATCAATGCTTCCAGTTTCAATATCAGTACTATGAATATGTTCCTTTTATAATAAGTGACAATCTTCACCAATTTTCTAGTATCTATTGATAGGGAATAAAACAATATTCAAATTTGCCGTTTTTATTGTCATTTTCATCATCAATATATCAATATGTCTATTTTCTTTTTCTTTCTTCTATTTTTACCCGGTTTTGCATAATTTTTTTTTCATCCTTCTAAATTAAGTTATTTATACATTCATATCAATTATACTTACAGTTATGTAAATATTAAATCGATATTAATTACCATCAGAAGTTCTTATCATTTAGTCTGCATAAATAAAGAAAATTAGTGAATAAGATACCTAATATTTTTATATCTAAATACACAAAGAATATAAACGTGTGGAGTATATTTATTTAAACAGGTGATGGATGTCCACGTAGCAAAAGCATTATGAATCGCCTTTTCTAAATAATCCGTGTGTGTTTCCTTTCTTTTTGTTTATTTTCTTGTCTTATTTTGTTTCAACATTTTGTCTTCTTAGAATTCGCATTTTTTAATTGTTCGAGGAACAAATTACATATGAACTGCACAACCATTATTTATTTATTTACCTTTTTTTCAAACTGCAGGACATTTAAATTCCTACAGATTTTAGAAAATCGTGTTTTCATTTTGGTTCTTGTTTGTTCTCTCAAGCCTGGTTCTATACACAAAAGGTTCAGTAAGAAGGGTTCCCTTGGCATAAGGTGGAGTTCTTGAGCGCCTGGTTCCTTGAGATCGGTTCTCTTTGTTTTATAAATATGGTTCCATAAAATCGGTTCTGGTTGGCTCGTAATTCTTGTTGAACCGCTGTATCTTTGGTTCCACAAAATCGGTTCTAGTTCCCCACTGATCCTGGTTCCACAAGATCGTTTTTTGGTTGATAATTAAACCCTGGTTACATACAGTCAGTTCTAGCAAGTCTAGAGTCCTTGGTTCCACAAATCGGTTCTTGATGATACATAAATGAGGGTTCCACAAAATCGGTTCTGGTTGACATATTACCCCTAGCCTCATAGACACCGTCCTGGTTGGTCTAAACTCCTCGGTTCCACATATCGGTTCGGGTAGTCCACGTGGGCGTATCTCTCGAAACCGGTTCTGCTGGCCAGGACAATTCCCAGAACCACCTGCCACTTCCTGCGGTTCGACTCTCCGGCCAAGGGTTCTTAGGCTCTGGTTCCCCCAAGGCGTGACCGCGATTTAATTGACACTTTCTGAAAAGTTGTTTTTTATCATTATCTTTTAACCTGTAATTTTCGGATTATATTTATCGGGCTTTTGGGTTTTTTATTGCTTAGCCCAAAAAAAAGTATTTTAGAGATACTGTAGTTATTTAAATTGCAGTATTAGTGTGTGTGTGTGTGTGTAAAACTATAAATGTTGATAATGGTACAACTACTACTAAAAATGGTGATAATATTGATAATGATAATAATGATAATTATGCTAATACTAATAATGATAATAATAACAACAATGCTAATAATTATTATTATAACAATAACAACAACAATAATAATAATGATGGCAATAATAAGAAAATGATAATGATAATGATAGCGATAATAATAATGATGATAATAACAAAAATAATAAGAACAACAACAACAACAAAACAACATCAACAACAATAGTAATAATAATAACAAAATATATACAAAAATTACAATGATGATAAACAAGAACATCAATAAATAATGGCAAAAACATCAACAGCAGCAACATAACACATAACAAAGCCAACTCACCCTTAGAAGGGAGTCCTTGATTTGGCCTCATTTTCATAGGCCTACTGAAGCCTCCTCTGCATCACCTGTTTTTGCACGTTTCGAGGTTTGTTGCAAGGGGATATTGCACCATATTGCAGTAGTTATTATGTACAGTTTTCGTGAGGTTGGATTGTTATTTACTGCATAGCGAGGCTTTAAGTACAGTATAATAAGGATGATACTGATAATGATGATGGGGAAGGAGAAGAAGGAGAAGGGAGAAGAAGAAGAAGAGGAGATAGAAGATGATGAGAGGGAGGAGGAATAATAGGGAAGAAAGAGAAGTACGAAAAAGAGGAGGAAGAGGAGGAAGTGGGGGAGAAGGAGATAAAACGGGAGAGAGGAGAGCAGGAAACAGGAGAGGAAGAAGGAAGAGGGAGAAAGATAGGTGGAGGAGGAAGAGGAGGAGAAAGATAGGTGGAGGAGGAAGAGGAGGAGAAAGAGGATTGAGGGGGAATTACAATAGGGAGAGGAAAAGGAAGAAAAGGGGGGAGAGGAAGAGGAAGAAAACGAGGTTGAAGAATGGAAAGAAAGGAAAGAGGGAAATGCAGGGAGAGGAGAAGGAGAAGAAGGAGGAAGAAGAGTAGGAATTAAAAAGAATAAGAAATGAAGGGAAATAGGGAAGACAAGAAGGATAAAGGGGGGGGGGGAGAAGAAGAGGCGTAGCACAGTAATACTGAAAATCTCAATAAGATTTATACGACGATGACTTTGATATCTGCAATAAGAACAATGGTGCTGACAGTAATTAACAAAGGCAATACTAGTTTATAAAGATGATAATAAAGTAAGTTATACAAACACAAAATTAAATAATTCAAGGTACAGTTAATATTTCTAGTAATAATAATGACAATAATAGCAATAACAAGAACACATATTTGAACAAAAAAAATCATATTCACATGCATGCGAAAGGCTTCTAAGCTTTAAAGTTTTTGTGCTTTATTTTCCTACGTGTATAAAGCTTTTGCAATCAGCCATGCTTCACTTTTAAGCTTGAGCTCAGTGTTCTTAAGCTTCCTCGCCACTTACTCAAAGTTTTACAGAAAAAAGGTTCACCACATATTCCTTTTTTTCTCATGTCCCTCTTATTTCTTTCCGTTATTTGACCTTCTCCTTCTCCTTCATGTGTGTGCCATAAGCTTTTGTCCTTAAGCTTCGCCACTTGGAAAAAAAGCTTCATAAGCAAAAATCGCTGCATTTGGTAAGCTTCACGAAGGTACTCCACAACCGTTGACCAATTACTAACCACAAGCCAACGGTGGTGGAGTTACCAACATGAAGTCTGACCATGAGGCACACTTTCGCGTCGTGGGTGTTGCTATGTGGGTCGAAGGGTGTTCCAAGATGCCGGATGCATGGGGTTGTCTGGGTGTTCCAAGATGGCGGATGGAGGGTCTGTCTGGGTGTTCCAAGATGGCGGATGGATGGTTTATCTGGGTGTTCCAAGATGGCGGATGGAGGGTCTGTTTGGGTGTTCCAAGATGGCGGATGGAGGGTCTGTCTGGGTGTTCCAAGGTGGCGGATGGATGGTCTGTTTGGGTGTTCCAAGATGGCGGATGGAGGGTCTGTTTGGGTGTTCCAAGATGGCGGATGGATGGTCTGTTTGGGTGTTCCAAGATGGCGGATGGAGGGTCTGTCTGGGTGTTCCAAGGTGGCGGATGGATGGTCTGTTTGGGTGTTCCAAGATGGCGGATGGAGGGTCTGTTTGGGTGTTCCAAGATGGCGGATGGATGGGGTTATCTTCTTGTTTCAAGAAGGCGGATTGTCTGGGTGTCCCGAGAAACGTAATATTAGATGTTCCGATGAGTGAGTGTTTGGCATATTGTGAAGGATGACGTCGACGTTCTAAGATGACTCTCATTTGAATTTCTAGGATGACTTTTTGATGAACCATGAGGGTGTCCTAAGATGGCTGTCGGATAGGTGATCGAGGTTGGATACCGCGAAAAAAATATATTCTTAGGGTATTAAAAAAGTAGCATGTGTAGGTCTCCCGAGGGAACCGCCATGAGTTCATACCTGTTTAAGTGTTCCATGATATTTGTCATGAGTTCGTGCCTGTTTTCGTATTTCAAGATGACTGCTAAGAGATCCCGAGTTCGGCTGTTCAAAGATGGCTGCCAAGAGACGCTCCTGTCTGGGCGTTCCAACATGGCGTCCTAAGACATCCTCATATGCGTGATTTTCAAGATGGACGCCGCGAAGATAAAACAAATGTTATGTGTTCTAACAGAGACCACACATGCATGCACGAGATATCGAATATTCTCACGATGAACCTCAGCCATATGTATACGAAGTCATGCAAATATTCAGAAGCTGCGTTTGAAGCATTTGTGACCTTACCTAACTTTGGAATAGAGGCGATTTTCCGAAATGGCTGAAGATGAGAGTGAACTTTTGTCGATTTCAACTTACCGTATTGTTTTTTTTTTCTTTCTTTCTGTTCTTTTCTTTCTTTCTTTCTCTCTCTCTTTCTTGGCATGTTGAAAAGTTGCTGATTGTTTAAGTTTATATGTGAACAATTGACTAAATTATTTAGCTTACCTGCTTACAGACGTTTGAATTTGACTGATAACAAGTCATGCAAAATTATGTGTCATGCAAAAATAACATTGATTATAAATATATACACAAGGGATCAGCTTGAAATATAAACAGAAGAAGAGATAGATAAGAAGAAATAAAACAAGAAAATAGTACTGATGAATGTGTGAAGATAGATATGCATTAATCGAGAGTGAAAATATTCAATAAGAGAGAAAAAAAAAACGAGAAAAGGGAAGAAGAGAAAGCAAGAAGCAAAAGGAGAAACATATGAAAATAGGGTAGACACAATGGCGAGAGAGAGAGAGAGAGAGAGAGAGAGAGAGAGAGAGAGAGAGAGAGAGAGAGAGATTGAAAGGCAAAGAGTAAAGCCTTAATAAAAGAGTAAGAGGGGGGGGGAGAGGGAGAGAAAAAGAGAGACAGAGAGAGACGGAGGTAGAACACAACAGGAAAGCAGCAGAAGATATAGAGAGGAGAGATGAGGGGTAAAGGAGAGGGCAGAGGGAAAGAGAGAGAGAGAGAGAGATGGAAAGAAAAAGAGAGTGGAAAGGACAGAGAGAAAGAGAGAGAGAGACAGATGGACAGAAAAAGAGAAGGACAGAGAGAAAGAGAGAGAGAGAGAGAGACTGACAGGAAGAGACAAACTGAGTTAGAGAGAGAGAGAGATCAAAGGAAAATTGTATTATATATACTATATTTTAACAAAATACTAAATGATAATTTCCTTAGGTCACTTCAAAAAAAAAAACTTTGAAACAGCTGATAAGTCGAAGGGGAAAATTGATAAGATAAAAATAGGAAGAAGTAATGAAAAAAAAAAGAAGTAAATGCTAACAAGAAGAGAAAAAAAATTCAAAATTAGACTGTAAAACAATTAACCTAAAAGGAGAGTGCAGCCAGTCTTGGAAACAAGTTAAGCAGAAAACAGAAAAGGAAATATTTAACAATATGAACAATCAAAAGAAGAAAAAAATAGGGAACATCAAATTCCTTATCAAGTAAGTTAGACATAAGAATTCAATAAAGCTTTAAGTAAAGTCTAATTAACGTTTTTATAATCGCTTCTTAATAGAGTTCGAACAGGTTAAATCAGGGTCGAGATGTCGAGCTCCCAGCGTCGCCCGCCCTCGTGGAGTTCTCCTGAAATATCGATAAAGATCTCTTCAATCCTTTTATTACTGGCTTTTTATCGTTCAGGTCTTGCAAAGGTGCTGCCTTATGGTGATGATGAGTTTGTACTAATGCGTGCAGAAGACGAGAGTTTAATTTGAATATCCATTCAAAATCAGCTTTCTATTACCAAAGTAAAGTTCGTTGGTTCGTTAATTAACGGTAAAGATTCCTCTGGGCCGATCCAAGTTTTCTCACCTCATCAGCTGTCCAATCGCAATGCTCGTTCGTTTTTATGCCAGCCAATAAAGGCAGTTCTCTCATCCGTAACCAATCAGAATTCCTCGTCGCTGCAGCCAATGGCGTCGTTGTCATTCCGACGCGGGATTCAATGGAGAGAAGTGAGTGCTCGCGAACGCAGCCACGAGGTCTGGAAGATAGAGGCTAATTTCAGTTGAAGAGAAGAAGGGAACTGATTCAAGGAATAAATGTTTATATCATGAAAAGCTTAGATGCTTTGCAGTGAGCGCCACCCATCTCTCGTACAAGTGGCGGCAGTGTTGGGATCAGTGAGCGGATCCACAATCATCGTCGACACATTTAGCTCACATTGATACGAGATGAGTCGACACTATTATCTGGTCTCCCTCTATTTGTTTCTTTATCTGTCTCGCTCTCTCACTCACTCACTCTCTCTCTCTCTCCTTCTCGTATAGACAGAAATAGTATATACATGAGCAGAACGTTCTTATCGGCTTCTATCTCATTCTCTGCCCCTTTATCCATCCTTCTACCTTTCTCTCACTCACTGTCTATCTGTCCAACACAATTACATGCTTTGCAGTGAGCGCCACCCATCTCTCGTACAAGTGGCGGCAGTGTTGGGATCAGTGAGCGGATCCACAATCATCGTCGACACATTTAGCTCACATTGATACGAGATGAGTCGACACTATTATCTGGTCTCCCTCTATTTGTTTCTTTATCTGTCTCGCTCTCTCACTCACTCACTCTCTCTCTCTCTCTATCTATCTATCTATCTATCTATCTATCTATCTATCTATCTATCTATCTCTCTCTCTCTCTCTCCTTCTCGTATAGACAGAAATAGTATATACATGAGCAGAACGTTCTTATCGGCTTCTATCTCATTCTCTGCCCCTTTATCCATCCTTCTACCTTTCTCTCACTCTCTGTCTATCTGTCCAACACAATTACATGCTTTGCAGTGAGCGCCACCCATCTCTCGTACAAGTGGCGGCAGT